CCTAAACCCTCAACCCCTAAACCCTAAACCCTAAACCCTAAGCCTTCAACCCCCCAACCCTAAACCCTAACCCCTAAACCCCTTTACCCCTAAAACCTAAACCCCTAAACCCCTCAACCCTAAGCCCTAAACCCCTCAACCCTAAGCCCTAAACCCCTAAACCCTGTATGGAGGAGCCCTTGGGCCCTGAAGCCTAAGCTCAAATCCCGGAGTCTCAAGCCTCAAGCAGCGGCCATCCGGGACCGCTGGGGTCCGAGCCCTAGAAAATAGGGGTTTAGGGTTTAGGGCTCTACATAACTACCTAACTACCAATACTATTTTCAAAAATTCCTTTCTGAACTTATGGTATCCGTTTAGGGTTTAGGGTTTCATTTAGGGGTCTACGTAACTACCAATACTATGTTTTTTTTGGGGTGGGGGTCCTTATTTAACTTATAGTCTTCCTTGAGGGTTTAGGGTTTAAATTAGGGGCCTGCATAATTACCAATGCTATTTTGGGGTTCCTTATGATGACTATAGTGTAATGGACTTTAAAACCCTATTCTAGTTATTAGGCTCAATCCCAGCGCTGTGGAGTTTATGGTTTGAGGTTACAACCTAGAGTTTAGGGTATGGGGTTTTAGGGTTTAGGGTCACCCTAAACCCTAAACCCTAAAGCCTAAACCCTAAACCCTAAACCGGCATCGGGGAAAGTGGTCACGCAGAATCAACTTCAAACCTAAAGGCCCCAGCCCCTTCCAACTCTGCCACTCCCCCACTCCCCCAACCCTCAGCCCCGTAACGGCCCTAAACCTCACACCTAACATCCTAAAACCTAAACCCTACACCTTACACCCTAAACCCGAAACACTATCCCTTACACCCTAAACCAAGCAGAGGAAAGTGTTCAATGACATTCCACCGAAACCGAGTGCGCCACCCGAGGCTGCTGGGCAGGAGGTAGTTTGAAAGGGCCTTTAGGGCTTCTTGGGGTTGTACGGGCTCATAAGGTTTTATAGGCTGCTAATGATTGAGCTGCTAATGGGCTTGATCAGGTTTTGTAGGTTCCTCTTGGGTTTCGATCCTGATGCACCGTCGTTGTCCTTTTCAGGACCGTTACATGGGTATCTGTCAGCATCACGGTCTTTTGGGGCTCTCCTGTATGGAAGTAGTCTTAGTACGGCACTCCTTTGTTTGGCAACCTAGATGAGAAGGACAACGACCCATCTGAGTGCTGTTCGCGTTGACACCAGAAGCCGGTAACCTGAAGGGTTTAGGGTTTAGGGTTTAGGGTTTAGGGTTTAGGGTTTGGGGTTTAGGTAGGGGCTTCGGGATTCCCTAAAGCTTGGAGCGAACTGAAAGTCCCCAAGTAACAGGTGCTGCTTTACAGGGTTCAGGAAGGCAGCTGGGTTTTTTGTGTCTCCTCCCGTCTTGGGCTAAAGAGGATCGTTTTTTCCTTGTTTCACAGGTACTAAACCCTAAGGGTCCCTGTACCTAAATAGTATATACTTTGGCCTTAAAGTAGTCCCTATATAGGTACTATCTCCCGTCCGCCCTAAACCCCAAAACAGACATGTAGGATGCTTGTGAGGGTGATGACTGTTGTTCCTATGGGTGGTTGTCAAAATTATGGTCCCTTTTTGGGTCCTATTATAGTACCGGCACCTATTATTTAGGGTACCCCAAAAGGGACCATAATTTTGACAACTCCCCCCACAGAAATTCTGGGAAATGCCAGGCACAGCTGTGGACGCAGGAAAAGGCAGATGAGCTCCAGGTGGGCTCAGGTTTGAGGCTTCATCATGTTTAGGGGTTTAGGGTTTAAAGGGTGTAGGGTTTAGGGTTTAGAGTTTAGGGTTCAGGGTTTGTAAGTCTTCGGGCTCTACGTGGAGAGTCTTTGGAGGGTTAGGCATGCAGATTGTCCGGTTGAGGGTGTTTGGTCTTCACTGTGTTTTAGGATTTCTGGGTTTAGTGCAATTGGCGGCGTTGGGTTTTTGAACACTGTTTGTTTGGCGGGCTAGTCTAAAGCTACCCTTAAATCCCAACCCTAGTCTTCCTCAATAACATGGTGGAAGGATTCCAGCATATTGGGGTGTGGAGGTTGAGATCTGAAGGTTTTCGAGGGTTTCATGCTTTACCTGGGGGTTTCGTAAGGTTCCGGTAAGCCTAAACCCTAAACCCTAAACCCTAAACTCTAACCGTAAGGTTCCGGTAGCTGTGAGATCAGAGGGCTTGTCCCAGGGGGCCCCACGGAGCACGCAACGTGAAGTCGGCAACATCACCAGGCTGAGAAAAGCAGAAGAAGACCCGTGCTCGTGGCTTAGGGTTTAGGGTTTAGGGTTCGCCAGGACCCTGCTCGAAGTATTCAGCTGTTCTGCATAATTCTTAACGCGGGCTGAAAGACATCGAGTATGCCTCACAGACGCCAGGGCCGCAACAAAAACAAAACAAGCAACGGCCCAAGAAATACTCGAAACCAAAAGCCGGCTGTCTCCACATCACCGGATGACACCTCCGACGAAGAACCCGTTCTGCTGCCGGGCCGAGATTCGCACACCCGCACCCTGTCATCGAGGCCAATGACTTTCCCTAAGCCCCAGGTACTTACGATATAGGGTACTGGAGCGCCTAGGTCCGTATATAGTAGATACCTGGAGGGTTAGGGTTTGGTGGCCATGTCACTGCTGATCGCATAGCGATCTGCAGGGATAATTAAAGGCATCACCCATCGAAGACTTTGCGACCCAGCAGAGGCTGCGTGTGTTGGCTTGAGTCTGGGCAACTACTAAGCCTTGAATCTCAGCAGTTCACTTTATTACTTCGTTGTCGAGGCTCCTTTTGATGAAGGAGATGCTGTAGAACCTGACATGACCATGAATCAAACTGGCTTTACCCATGCAGTTGACAGGGACGAAGTACCCTAAACCCTAAACGCTTAAACCCTAAACCCCTAAACCCTAAACCCTAAACCCTATATTTATCGGAGACAGGCTCTATGAGGATCCTCGGCAAGAGCCCCTGAGGAGAAAGTGATCCTCAAGTATGCCCGCGCCAAGCGCACCCCGAAGTGTCGAAGCTTCCCGCGAATTCTTGTGAAATGCCCTAAATCCTGAAGCCGTAGAAGCCGAGACGTTCACACCTAACATTTCCTGAAACCATGAGCCGTAAAGCCCTACGCCTACATCCCTCGATCCTTAAATCCTACATTTTTAAGCCTGAAACGCCACTCTCGCCACCAACCCATTAAATGTCAAATTCTGAAACCCTATATGTTTTAGTGCCGGAAACCTTAAAGTGCCGGGCCAGAATTTTACTTTTGGTGGAGTTTCGACAAACCCATGCACCCTATCTTCGGCCCTGACCCCTAAACCCCAAACCCTAAACGTTTCAAACCTGAAACTCTACTCTGAACCCTAACCCTGAACCCTAAACCTTAAACTCTACCCTGAACCAAAAACCCTGAACCCTAAACCTTTAAGCCAAAAACCCTAAACCCTAAACTCTACCCTGAGCCCTAAACCTTAAGCCTTAAACCCTAAACCCTAAACTCTACCCTGAACCCCTAAAGCCTAAACCCTAAACCCTAAACCCTAAACCAAAAACCCTAAACCCTAAACTCTACCCTGAACCCCTAAACCTTAAGCCTCAAAGCCGGGAAGAGCTTCGACCGCAGCCTGGCCAGGCTGCGGTCGACCGGGTCTTCAACAAGGCCGCAGATCCCGAAGCCAAGGGTCATGGGGGTTAGGGTTTAGGGTTTAGGGTTTAGGATTTAGGGGGTTTAGGGTTGAGGGTTTAGGGGATTTAGGGTTTATGGGGTTTAGGGTTTAGGATTCAGGGCTTATAGGATTTAGGGCTTATAGGATGTATAGGGTTTAGGATTTAGGTTTTATAGGGCTAAGGCTTTAGGATCTAGGTTCATAGGGCTTATGATGCTTAGGGTTTATAGGATTTAGGGCTTAGGAATTAGGATTGGGTTTGGGCTTAGGGCTTGGGGTTTATAGGATTTGGGGCGTAGGGCTCAGGGTTCATAGGAATTAGGGTCATACCGGATTTAGGAGCTTAGGGCTTATAGGGTTTATATGGGCAGTTGTCAAAATTATGGTCCCTTTGGGGGTACCCTAAATAATAGGTGCCGTATTATGATAGGACCCAAAAAGGGACCATAATTTTGACAACCACCCATATAGGATTGAGGGCTTGGGGTTTAGGGCTTAGGATTTAGGGCTTAGGGTTTAGGCTTATAGAGTTTATATAGGGCTCATCGGGTCGGGTATAGGGTTGAGGGTGTTGGATGTACCTGTAGTCGCCATTGCATCTTTTGATGGACCAGTCTTATAGTCAGGATCCTATACATAGGGTTTAGGGTGTAGGGTTTAGGGTTAAGGTATCCCCAAAAAAAGACTACAATGGAGGGTATAGATAGAAACTTTCAGACACGAGATTCAAGGTTTTGTGCAGTTCCATAGAAGTCTCTAGCCCAGACACAATGACACAGATTGTCCGAGATCATACACCAATGTTTCCGATGATTTTGTTCTGGCGGCGTCTACGTCATAAACACCACCAGAAAAGCGATATTCGGGGCTGCTAGAGCTTCACAAGACAAAGGCTTGCAAACATGAGTGTAATGTTGGGGCATTGGACAAGATCCTACACATGCGGGGGTGCCTGGCGAGTTACTCCGAGCTTTGCACAGCTGCGAACACAGACATCCCTCCTGGACATCCTCTTCTGAGCATCGCCTTGGACGGAATGGACCAAAGTAAATTCCGCTGCCCACGCAACATTGCGATGACGAAGGAATTTGAGTCAAGACCGCAACTCCACCTGCTCTAAACCCTACACTCTACACCTTTATCCCGCAAACCCTACACCCTCCGAGCTGAAAAACTTAAGCCTACACCCCAAAAATTGAATCCCTAAACCTTTGCCTACTCCCTACACCCTGCAAGCCTTAAGGGTACCCTAAACCCTAAACCCTAAACCCTGCAAGCCTTAAGCCTTAGGCCGCTTTGCCTGCCCCTCGGATGATCGCAGGGAGGCGACTCCTTGCTGGGAATGACCTTCTCCTTCACAATTGCAGCCGCTTGCCTTGAAGGTAAGCCCTAAACCCTAAACCCTAAAGCCTAAGCCCTAAACCCTAAACCCTAAACCCTAAACCCTAAACCCTAAGCCCAGAAGAGGCAACCCTAAACCCTAAAAGGGGGTTGTTTTTCCTAGGTAGTGATAGGGAGACCCCTCAAAGGGGGGACCCTTCTTAACCCTACTTATGGCTCTCTTAAAAGGGGCCTTATTGAGACTACCCGAAGTGCTTCTAGGTTTGGAGTTCAACTCTTCCACTCTCAAGCAAGCTTGGTGTTCTTCTGGTTGGCTCTTTAGACTTTAACTTTTTGGGTTTCTATATGAACCATCATAAGGAGACTAAAAGTTTAACTTTTTGGGGGGGTTCAGAAGTCAGCCAAGGAGAGGGTCTATATCCCAAAGGGTCCCCCTAATCCTAACTCCCAGTTTTGGGTTTAGGGCGTGGGGTGTTTGGTTTCGAGCTCGGGGCTCCGGGTGTAGAGTTTAGGGTTTACCTGTAGTCTCCATTGTAGTTCTTTTTTGGGTTTACCTTTTTGGATCCTTAGTATAAAACTGGTTAAACCAAAAAAAAAGGAACTACAATGGAGACTATAGGTAGGGTTTAGGGGCCAATTCAATGGCTTTAAGGTGCAACTGGCTCTGCAGTATTACTCACATATTCCACCCCCAGACTCTTAGCTATTCCATAGGCAGCTCCGCGAGTACAACGATAGTGCAGAACCCTAGAGCTTTGAAAAGCCACTATATGATGTTGAGATCTCTGAGTTCAACCATTGCATGGTGTTTGCTTAACTACCCCCTTCGGGGTTTCATGGGTTTCGGGGTCGCAACGAGTAGGATTGAAGGTTTTCTGGTTTCACGAATCGGGGTATGTATGCCAACGGTTTGAAATTTAGCAGGGTCCCTGTTCTTGGTCTATCTTGAAACAGGGTTCTGGCTGTTTGAGAAGAGCAGTTGTTTTCTTGAAGGAGTCATTCTATAACACAAATTCAGACTATTCCCTTTCATTTCTCATGGCCCTTCGCTCTGCGCTGTGCCGTTGATGATAGTTATCTTTGTTGCTGCTTTCTTAGATTCTACAAGGGCGGGAAAATATAGTAGTGTTCCCCGGGGAGTCCCTGGCATCTAAATTAGTTCATGCCAGCCAAAGGCCTTGCCTGCAGAATTGGAGGGTTTCGGGATAAGGATCGAGGCTTCGCCGATGAACTCGATATCGTAGGATTTAGGGTTCGGGGTGCGGTGGTTTCGAGTGGAATTCTCGGACTATGCAATAAGCCCTCTGCCCAAAACCATCCGAAGTTTTGTGGTTCGCCCCTTTTCAAACTGGATTGATAGTTTCTCTTCTGGTTTGAGATCTGGATCCAGGGTTACTTGAGGATTCATACATGTCCAAAGTTATGTTTCCCCCTGCAGCTTGAGAGCACGAATGTTCCTACACGGAGCAGCCAAGTCAACACCAAAAAACGAATCCCAAAACCTTTGGAATGCCGTGTTGCACCCCGCAGAAACCACCTCATACAACCCTTACATGACAAGACCCTGAACCCTAAACCCTAAACCCTAAACCTTAAACCCTAGCCAAACCCTCAGTACTGGAGCTTGTTGCCTGCAGCATGTCTTGGATCTATACGATCCCTTTCGAACCCAAAGTTCCTGAAGTGTTTGGCCGCTGGGGTTTAGGGTTTAGGGTTTAGGGCCTCGGGTTTAGGCGACTAGGATCCCCTGTAAGGAGGGATGGGCTTGATGGTTTAGTGTCCAGGGGTTTGGGTTTATATAGGGCTTCCAGTTTAATCAGGGCTTTGGATTTATCAGCGTAGGGTGCAGATTTTGGAGTTATTGGCTCCGGCGTTGTGTGTCTAGAGTCTAGAGTCTTCAGGTTAGGGTTCAGTGCTTTTGATCTGGATTTTCGGATTTCGGCGTGACCCGAGGACCCGCGTATCGAAGATTGTCCACTGATTGGCTGTGCCTTGGCCGGTCTGCAAAAGTGTTTCTAAAATCGGAGGACCTGATTTTGAACAAGCTGATATTCGGGCTGTTATATTGCTCTGAGTAGTTTGTCGCCGTCTTCCCCGCATGCCGTTTCTCTTGCTGGGGTCTCCAACCCTAAACCGTAAACCCTAAACCCTAAACCAATGCTTCTTGGGCTAGCCTTATGACAGGAACGAGCCGATGTTTCGTCCTTGAGATTCTGGCTTCAAAGTTTTTGGATTCAGTATGGGGGGTCGCATTGAGCAATGTGGTGTTCCTGAGGGATCCTTAGCATCACTATAACCCTAACCCTCCAGGTACCTACTATATAGGGTACTAGAGCCCCTAGGGCCCTATATAGTAGGTACCTGGAGGGTTAGGGTAAGCCCGGGTCTAATCGATTGGGCTGCTTTCTTACATGGCCCGTTATGTGCCCCAAAGAGGAAGAATACCTGTAGTCTCCATTGTAGCTCTTTTTCGGGTTTACCTTTTAGGATCCTTAACATATAATTGGTTGAACCAAAAAAGGAACTACAATGGAGACTATAGGTATATTGTCAAAGTAGAGAATTCCGGCAGTCGACATCCTTCATACACAAGCTGGCGACCCCAAGCGACCAGTCCTCCTCTGAAGTCAGCGACAAAGACGACGCTGAGAGTTAAACCTTTTTTCTTGTTTTAGGGTTTAGGGTTAAAGTCTTTAGAGATTTAGGGTTTAGGGGTTTAGGATGGTTTAGGGCTTTAGGGGTTTAGGGTTTTAGGGTTTCAACAAAACCTGCTTGGGCAACCTTTCTCAGCAGAACTCGGACATGTAAACATCACCTGTACAAGAACAAGCAGCCTTTCCGGCGGGTTCAAAACAGCAAGATCTAGATGATTGCTATTGTTTAGTGTTACTATCTTAGTCATATACACATACATATATGAGAGGTTCCGGACCCTCGTAGGGAGATACCTAGTACCCTGAGGGTCGTCCCACCCCCTACAATCCCGAAAAGCATGTAAAGCGCACGTAACAAAACCCTAACAGATTCCCTAGACAACCCTTATCGACCTGTACAACCCTTATATATGCACACTGATTGAATGTGCAATGTATACTCAATTACAGCACATCCTTATATACTGCATATGCCAATTATGTATGTCTGTATGGATATCACATCCTTAAAACCCTAAACCCTAAACCCTAAACCCTAAACCCTAAACCCTAAACCCTAAACCCTAAACCCTAAACCCCAGAGCCCTTATTTGGGTGAGCCCTGGATCTGGTGAAATGAGGCAGCACAGGCTTCGGAACTCTTTGCGGGTACACTGTGAAGGAAATCGTGGGGAGGAGACGGAGTGCAGCGTTGGAGGGATTTAGGGTCTTTGAGGTTTAGGCATGTATGGGTTTAGGGTTTAGGGTTTAGGGTTTTGGGTTTTGGGTTGGGGAGTTAGGATTCTGTGCCAGTGTTGAAATGAAAACGGATAGTCGCAAGAGTTAAGTCTTGTCACAATGTTGATTAGGCAGGCTCCGGCCCTTTTTTGAAAGAGGGTTTTGTCTGGGGCTCCGAATGAAGGTTCAGGCAATATGCGCATGCATATACTTGAGAATCCAGCAAGACCCTAACCCCAGAACCATATGGGGGTTTCCGAAAATAGGGGACCCTAATATAGTACCCTAAATAGTAGGATCCTTCTTATAGGACCCCCAAGACAAGGTACCCTTGTCTTGGGAACCTCCCATATAAGGGTTCTCAGAGGTCGGCTTGAAGGCTCTTAGGTTTCCATGAAGGGCTTGGGTGTAGGGTTTAGGGTTTAGGGTTTAGGGTTGGGGCTTGGGATATTTCACTGGAGGTTCTTGAAGGAGTAGCCACAGGGTGTATAGGGTTCAGGGTTGAGTAGCAATATTGATATTCCTTAGCATCCACTGATGCACTTGTGGTATAACTACAGAACCCCTCGAACTCTGGTCAAGTTGTTCGAGCTTCTAAACTAGAAGACTTCATGCACTCCCAGAAATTATCCACAGCATAGATGCCAAAAAACCATTTCGAAACCCCAAAGCGACCTGTGGATCCCAAAACCTACTATCTTAGGGGCTAACAAGGCGATTCTGAGGTCATAGCCTACTCTGTTGTGAGATCTGCGACTACCGGCGGAACAAGTCTTTGAGGCCTTATAAGCCCCCAAAAAGACATGGCAGGAACTGTCGCTTCCTCGTGGATCCCGTGCCGAAGGAAGAGATTGATTGGACGATGCGGAAGCAAGCCAAGGCCACGCGTGGTCGGGCCTTTTTCAAGGCGGTCATAGGTTTTTCCACTTGTTATCAAAAGGTTTTGGCTCTTTGGGGCGTAGCGCTTAGTAGCGATTTGGGCATGTTTGGGATCTGGGACTAGGGTTTCGAAGTTTGGGGGCTTAGTGTTCAGGGGTTGGGGATAGCGGTTTAGGATGTGGGATCTCGTCTTCAATTCAATTCCCACGCCCTGATACACATCCGAATTTGAACCATTCGGCGGGTTTCAGGAAGCTGTCGGCAGCAAGGAGGATCGATGATGAATTTATTTCACAATCATTCCTTAAGGACGAAAAGAGCCCTAAAAGGGTTTAGGGTTCATAGACCATATGGGGATTCATAGTATAAGGGTATAGGGCCCCTACTGTTAAGGTTCTTTTCGTCCTTAAGGTTCCCCATGCCCCTAAACCCTAAACCCTAAACCCTAAACCCTAAACCCTAAACCCTAAACCCTAAACCCTAAACCCTAAACCCTAAAGCTCAAGGAGCCCCAATACCCAAGATCTCAGCTCGATTCTTCCCCTAAGGGTCCATGTACCCAAATAGTAGATCATTGGCCCTAAAGTACCCATATAGGGACTACATTAAGGCCAATGTCCTACTATTTGGGTACATGGACCCTTAGGGTTCTATATCCGCAAAACTCCCAAATCGGTGGCTAAACTCCCTAGGGCTTTGGGTTTCTAGGGTAACTAAACTCCCTGACTTCCGAACCCTCAACACCTAAACCGCGTTGCCCAAACTCCCAAAAAATGCCCTAAACCCACCATCTAAACCCTAAGCCCTGAAACCTGAACTCCAAGGACACCCAAGTCCTAAGGGCTGTTGTCGGTAAAAAGTAATGCACCCCTGTAATGTCCAACCCCGAAACCCCTAAACCCTAATTCACTTGCAGTCTGTCTGCTGACTCTATACTCTCCTAATAGTTTCCTGTCCCATAGAAGAGAGCATCCCAAGCCCTCTACTCTGAGATGGTCCGTCGCATGCCAGGATTTTTGCAAGTGCGTTCGCGAAGGAAAAGATTATAGGACTGCCGAGGGAAGGGTGTCGTGGGTCCACGTCGAGGCAATGCAGGTGCCTTAAGAACTGTTCAACAGTATTCCTTCCTTCGGGTTCCGTAGTACATGAGTATAGACCATAATGTACCTCAAAAACCCCGTTCTAACTATTGAGGACCCCGAGGCGTCAGTGATCATCGGGTTTGGGGCCTCAAACCCGTCAATTCCAGGGGGGTTTAGGGCTACAGGCTGGTCATGTGTTTGGGGTCCAGGGGTTGAGCTTTAAATCCCTAAGCCCTGCAACCCCTCGTGCCTCAACCCTTATTCCTGTCAGCCCAAAACAAACAAGAAACCCCTTCCCCTGAACCCTAAACACGGAAATGGAGTGTTGGGGATTGGGCGTTGCATGCTCATCGATTTGAATCCCAGACTGAAGCTGAGTGCATTCATTTAGAAAAGTCCATACTCCACGACCCCTCAGGGTACCTGTAACAGAGTTGTCCCGATCCTGGCCCTTAATTGTGGGTGTGTGGGCGAAATGGGTTTCGGGTTGTAGCCCATTCTCAAAATCTGAGAATCTTTGAATCAAAGAGCGCTCCTAAACCCTGAACTGCCTCGCTGGAAGCAGTAGCTTCGGTATTGAGAAAACTATGAGAAACTTTGTGGGTTTTTTCTCAGGCTCCATCACTAAATTCAAAGACCCCGAACTCAATGGTCCAGAACCCTACTCTTAAACTGCTGCACTCTTCTACTGTAGTCCTGCTGGTACAACTTTAAGTTTTGATGTTTTTTCCTTTAGGTAGCGAGAGGGAAGTAAGTTAATCCTAGAACTCTAAACATTCATTGAAACCTTTGATGGTTCCAAATATTGAGGTATAAATGTGAGCTATTAGCTTTACCGGCAAACCCTTTGTCTAATGATAAGGCTCCTGTAACTCAGAGGGTCGGCGCTCGGCATGAGATATGGAGGTGAGGTTAGAGTTGTTTAGACTTTCGAAGCCTAGGAAACAGGTGAATAGCACGAGTATGGCCACCTGGATCATTGTATTTCTTCTCGCACCGTCTGTTCTCCGTGCCCCGTCTATTTGAGGTCTTTCTTCAACGGGATGAACAGTAAAGCCTAGGCGCTAAATATACGAGAGTCCACAAGCTCAGCTGCTTGCTGAGACTATAAATCATTAGCTGAGCTGTAAACCGTGGACGCAAAACCCTAAGCCAACACCGTTGCGTAGTTCGTAGGAACCCTCATTTCGTCATCAGCCCTTGTTAGCAGACCTGGTTCCCTAAACCCTAAACCCTAAACCCTAAACCAGAACTTGTGATTTAAAACTCCGTGTATCCGCAAGAAAGATCAGACCACTGTTGCCAACAAGGGTCCCCGATGCTGAGCGTGAAGAGTGGATGCCGATGGGTAGAGCAGGCGCGACCATGTTTGTTCTGTGTTGGCTTGAGGGTGGAGCTTCGGTTTTGTTAAGCATCTGGGGCTGGCACCCTAAACCCTAAACCCTAAACCCTAAAACCCTAAACCCTAAACTCTAAACCTGGACTCCCATCTTGTGATGGTAATGTCTCTGGAAGAAAAGGTTCGGCCCTTGGTCAGCGCCGCTGGAAGCCGATGAGAAGTAGCTCATGAGACTTATGGCTCCTGATGTCTGTCTGGTGCTTTAGGGTTTAGGGTTTTAAGGTTTAGAGTAACTTAGGGTTTAGGGTTTAGGGGTTTAGGGTTTAGGGTTTAGCCTAGTAGGGAATGGGGGAATGGATCCCTATGATAGTCCCTTAAGGTCCCATATAGTAGTCCCTATAACCCATTCCCCCATTCCCTACTAAGCACCAGACAGATGCCCTCGGGTCCTTGGGCAGGCCACGTGATCCTGACAGGTGGAAGCTGACCACAGGAACCTGTCGACGAGCCTCCTTTGGCGAGCTTCGCTTGTGTCCTTTTACCTCCGTTGCTGCAACACCTAAGAAGAATTTCGCTTACATGCAGGAGATCACCACTGTTCTGAAAAGACAAGACAGAGCATACATGGTTGCCTGGCGGTTTTGCATGGGCTTGCCGACTGTAAGTGCCTCTAACAATACTTAAGCCAGAAGGATACGTCGTTCTACAAGACTCTATTACATATAGTGTCACCGTCATTCTCCGGGTTTTCCTCAACCTGTCCTTGTAGGTTTTAGGGCCAAGCCGGTTTGGGTTCAGGATGCCGGTTTCGGCTCAGGTTTAGCGTCGTGCACGGATGCAGATTTGGTATTTCTGCAAACCTGGACCCTGAAGAACCTACCTTTTTAGGGCTCCTTATTATGATTTCTTTATATAAGTCCTTAAAAAGGTAGGTTCTTCGGGGTTAAGGAAGTCCTTACCACAGGTTTTGGATGCCTCTGGCATTGTCGGACTATTCACGTCTTCCGTATTAAAGGGTTCCCCTGTTGCTTATCTTCGTGGACCACGGTCTATCTGTTCATTCAAAACATCTATATCAGAATCTACCTGGTTCGTGCAAGACCCTACCTTTCACCACAACATGCTCAGACTCCCCCAGAGTCCACAAAATCACAAACCTTCAGACATTAAAATCATAAGGTGAAGACTCGGTGAAGACCATAAGCAAATGCCTATCACTTGTGACGGGATTCCAAAACTCGAGTCTGAGTATGATTAGCGGGAACTCAAGCTACCATACTAAGCAAACAGTAGCATTTGATACAGATCCCTACTCTGGTAACTTAAGTTACAGCACATCCCGCAATTAACACGAACCCAGACCAGGGTCTTGGGTTTGAGTTTTAGGGTTTAGGTTTAGGGTTTAGGGCTTTGGATTTATGTTTTTAGGGTCTAGGGCCTAAGCCTACAGGCTGTTTTAGGCGCAGCGCTTCGCCATGTGTAGTTTCGAGGTTTACATGTAACCCTACAAACCTAGAAGGCATATTTAATATGACCCTTCAATTAAACCCTAAAGTCTTAAAACCCTAAACCCTAAAATCCTAAAACCCCAAAGCCCTAAACCTCAAAGCCCCAAACCCTAAACCCTAAAACCTTAAAGCCCTAAACCCTCAAGCCTTAAAGCCCTAAGCCCTAAGCCGATATAGAGTAGGACCATGCACAGACCCTACCTAGACCTTTCTGGCAACAGTGCTGCTAGGGTTTAGGGGCTTAGCGGTTTAGGGTTTAGGGCTTAGCGGTTTAGGGTCTATAGGGTTTAGGGTTTAGGGGTGAAGGGGGTTTAGGGTTTAGGGTTTATGGGTAGTTCTGTAAATTAGGGTCTCTTTTTCGGTCCCCAAAATACTACGGCACCCACCCGTATACAAAGGACCTAATTTAGAGAACTACCCATGTTGTCTTGGAGTCTCGACCGGAAGGAGCGCAAGTCTGTTTGGAAAGAGCATGAAAGGATCTGCAAATTAAGTACTAGGCCCTGCAGATCCGGACCTCCAATATCCGTCCTACTGCGAGGCACAGTGTTTTTTTTCTGACTTCTTTAGGTATAGGGTTCTCTCTTCCTTGGTGTTCTGAACACAACCTAGGCACTACGACTGGTCTGAAGTGTTGCGTTTCATGCTACTTAACCCTAAACCCTAAACCCTAAACCCTAGACCCTAAACCTTACTGTAGCTTGACGTGCGATATCCTCAAAGTCTGGCCTGAAAAGTCTCAAGCCTTAAGGACGAAAAGAGCCTTAAAACTAGGGGCCCTATACCCTTATACTATGAATCCCTATATGGTCTATGAACCCTGAACCTTTTTAGGGCTCTTTTCGTCCTTAAGGAGCGGACAAAAGGGATAGCGTGCAGTGCCGAGCGACGACCGAAGATATCATCGCCGCAGCTTGAGTGTGTAAGCTATCTGAGTGACCCGCCCATCCCCAAAGCCCGCGCCTCTTTCATCAGGTGATGAGCTGTTTTGCTTTCAGCGCAACGCTCGCAAGGTGCTGCCAACCCGGAAGGGGGGGTTGGTTCTCTTCTTATGCTATGCTTTAGATTTAGATAGGCCTTGACATGTGCATGTGTCTACACCGACTCGGCGGTACCCTAGTATTGTTGACTTGAGGTTTGTTGATGATTCACCTTTTTCGCTTAAGTCCACGCGTTTTACTGGCTGCGTGATGGGTTCCGAGGTCGTATCCGGTTGCACAGCTGCTGCAGCTAGAGGGGTGCAGACAATGATCATTGGGTTTCGGCGTGATTTCTAGTCTATAGTATCTAGTAGTACATACAGTTGTATATGACGAAAAGCAGAGGAGGAGCACTACTACGTATCAGGCCCCCGTTGTATTCTCGTCTTGACTAAGGCTCAGGTTTATGGCCCCAAGCCCGCGTGGGTTACTCCACCGTTAATCCCTAGTTTCGTAGATCGGCATGACAAGACATCACTTAACTTCAGGGTCTAGGGTTTGTAGAATTTAGGGTTAAGGCTCTAGGATTCAGGGTGTTGGACAATTCGCGGATCGTCGAGGATATAAAAGATCACGCGGTCGGGATGATGCCAAACTATAAGGAGTCCCGAAAAACTAAAGCTTGGATGTTCTGACCTACGGTGTCCTGAACACCACAACCCTCAAGCCCTCTTGATGCAATTTAAAAAGCCAGCGATAAAACCCATGTGAAGACTCTACAGACCCCTTACACGTATCCAAGACTGTATTCTAACATCCGCTAACTAGAATCAGGCTCCGATACAATATCTGAGATCCCAGAAAAGGAATCCCAGGAACGCTGACGCTTCTGTCGGTCTCAGGATAAAGCCCTCGGTGGCTTGGATCAGAGAGGGTTACCCTTGTCCCCGCACATTTAAGGCACCAGTTCCCCAAACCTCTATAGAACCCTGCTAGGAACCTCCGAATGAACCCTTATCGACTTTTTTAGGCAAGTAAACCCTGACCGACCCTGTAAACAAACAAAGCACACTCCTTAAACCCATATAAATCCTCTCGAACCTTCTAAATAAGTAGTAGAAACACTACATTCAGCCAGAAATCAGGATTGCTGCTTCCCACCCTGTCAGGACGGTTCTCTTTTCAACAACCTGTTTTACATGAAGGCCGGGCACCTTCTGTTTCTTAGGGGTACTTAGAAATAATTCTTAATCTTTGGCTATTATAAACCCTAAGAAGCAGCTAACATTATAATTTTTGCTAGGGGTCTAAGTTCAGTATAGTTTTGGGTTGCGTTTTTTGTGGCGGCTGTTGTTGGTTTAGGCTTTGAGCAGGGTGAGGTTCTTGGAGGCCCGTGACAGGAGGGGTATGGCCCTAACCCCCCAGGTACCTACTATATTAGGGTTAAGGGTTTAGGGTTTAGGGGTCAGATGTAAGCCCTGAGCTTCGAAATGGGCTCAAAGCGAACATCCTGAGCCCACACCTAAACATGAGCACCTGATCAAGACAATCTATGCGCTGAGCCTTCAAACAGGCTCAAAACGAACATCCTCAGCCCAAGCTCCTTAACAGCGCAAACGTGAGCTAAGCTCCTAAAGAGACCGGTCTTTACGACGCCAAGGTCATTCTACAGACAGAACCCTAACACCAGGGCACGTCAAGAAACGAAGCCCTGTGCCTTTGAGCAAGCTGTACATCGTAAATCTAACGACCGGCAACCAATGGACGGTGCCCGATATGCCCTGCAAAGCCTTATGTCGCATAACCATCCTCTAGCCTGAACCCTAGCATCCTTTCTCAAGGTCATCGAGTTGAGTATCGAGCTGGGTGATGAAATGCCGTACATCGCCACTCTGCTCGCAGAAACGAGCCCTGCTTAAGCTGGACCGGATTGGGATTCACAGGGGTTTGTAGCGCTTTCTGCACCGCGACTTGTATTTTTCAAAAGGGTTATGAAGTCCTGAATTTGTTCAGGGTTTTATATGGTTTGTGTAAGGCCTGGTTTAGTATTACGTTTATAGAGGGTCATGTGTGGTTTAGGGCTTTCAGGCTGTTAGTGTTCTATAGGGCTCTTGGTTGGGAGGTTCGCCACTTGACACGGGAAAGCCTGGTCGGTAATCAAGCCGCCTTGCACCGGATGATTGATGCAACAGAACCGGATCTCACAGCGAATGAAGCCAGTTATCACAGTCATCGCAAAGTATCACGGATGATGATCTGCTGAACTGTGGGAATCTTTCCTTGGACTATAGTACGTAGCTCGTCTTCTGTTTTGTGTTGGATAGTTCTTTTTTATTACATTACCTTATTCATTTGTTTGGCATATTTTTTCATATGATATCACAGATATCAGATGGTATCATGTGATATCATCTGATATCATCTGATATTATATGATATGATATGCTGTCCTTATATTTTGCCATATGATATTATCTTATTCTCTAAACCTTAAACCCTAAACCCTTATAAGCCCTAAACCCTAAACCCAAAGCCCTAAGCCCTAAGCCCTAAGCCCTAAACCCTGAACCCTAAACTAAACCTTAACCCCTAAACCCAAAGCCCTAAACCCTACACCCTAAGCCCTAAACCCTAAGCCCTAAGCCCTAAACCCTAAACCCTAAACCCTAAGCCCATTACATGACATGTTATGCTGTTGCGGTCTTTGCTAAGGTCGGCCTCCAGTCTGAGCTTCCCAGCGGCAAGGTCGCGGTACCGGGGTCTTAGGGCACGGTTTAGGGTTTAGGGTTTAGGGTTTAGGGATCTATGTAAGGCAGAAGGTTCGATTTTGGGGTCCATAGAGGTAGTTTTGGGAGTTTTGGGGGGTTTAGGGTCTTAGTTCTTCGGTTTTTGTTGTTTGTTCGTACTTGCATGGAGCTCCTTTTTGAGAGTGGTTGTTAATTGCTTGTCATGCTGTTGTGCATTCGTCTTGCAGGTCCAGTGGCGCATCTTTTAATATGAGAGCTTCTTCTTGCTTGAAGGTTTTATATTTTAGGGCCCTGGCTTAGGGTTGTTCGTTCAGTACTCGTCCCCTTAGGAGTCCGGCGGCGTGCTCAAGGCACCTGGCACGCAGGGGAGCAAAGAACGCATCCTCCCGGAAACACTCTTCCTCATCGTTTCTTCCGAGCTTTCATTCCGCGTCATCGTGCTCAACCTCATCCAGGATGGGAAGGACACCTCCCAAGCCGGGAAGCAACTTGCTGCGGTAAAGGTTTGCTTGTGTGTGATGGTGTAGGTATAAAGATGAATACGAGCAGAACAGACATCAAGAGGCGCAAAGCTAAGCATTGGTTCGGTTTATGGCATCTTCGGGTAGTAGGGTTGGATTTTTTTGGTGGCCGTTTAATGCGCTCCAGCGTAGTTTTGTCTTTCGCTAGGATCCTGTTTGAGGGTACCAGGTAGCCAGCAACTCTACAATTGAGGGTCTTGGTTGGATTTTGGAGGGTAGGGAACAGCAAGGAAAACCCTTAAACCCTAAACCCCAAAGCGCGTGAAGGCGGACTTGCAACAGCTTGCGAAGAATCTGAAGGTCCTTGACCACAACATGAGCCAGGTGGACTTCGAGTGGTTGCTAAGGTATGTATGTATGGGTACATGCAGCCTCATAGGGACATGTCTAAACAACGGTTGGTTGAACATATTCCTACACCCTAAACCCTAAAC